TGGTATGGGCATCTATTATTAAATGGTGATACATATTATTTTAATTTTTTTAAAAAAATTATTATTAATAAATTATAATAAACATTGTTTCAATCAATAATCTGTGTAATCTGATTTAGAAAATAAGTCCCTATTAAGTAATTGTTATACATTGATAATAATTATAATTATGTATCATTATAATTTGATTTTTAGTAAAAGATATCCATTAATTGAGGGAACAGCTGCCTGTACTGTATGTAATAAGTTATTAATTATTAATAACAATTATTAATATATAAATAGTTATTTAAATAAAAAAATAATTTTTAATAAAATTTTTTTAAGTAATTCTAATTCAGATTAATTTTTTAACAAAATAATTACTTAATACCACTTCAATAAACTATAGGGTGATTCGGGTGGACCATTGGTTCAGTATGTAATGGATGACAATAATAACATTTATCAAACTAATAATAATAGTAGTGATGTTATGATGGGTGGTGTTAATGGTGGTGGTGGTGGTCGGGTAGTACTAATTGGTTTAGCTAAAGGATTTACTCACAAAATAGCTGACTGTCCTTTGATTGAACATACCGATGCTTTGAATGTATTTGTTCGGTTGTCTAAACATATTGATTGGATTATTAATACTGTTTCGGGACATTAAATAACAAATACTGTATTATAAACTAATATTGTTATTGTTATTATTAAACTAACCAATATTTTGTGACAACCAAAAAAAAATAATAATAATTGAATGATTAGTCAATAAATTGTTTATATTGAAAATTAATAAACAAATTTTATTCAAATAAATAATATTTATTAAATATCATAATAGCATTATTTTTTAACTTAAATTAATTATTTGTATATTAAATGTAATTTTGTTTTTTAATGATAAAATATTTAATTATATTATACTTGAATATCAAAATAATAATAATAAATGTTTTAAAAGTTTGCATACAATAATTATCATAAAAATATTTAGTAGTTCTGTATTAATAAAATAAATATAAAAATAAATACTAATTAAAAATGAAAACAAATAAAATATATCTCAATGTGTAATAAAGTAAAAATATATAATAATTAAGAATTTAAATACAAAAAATAAACATGATCAATTTAATTATAAATAATCTAATATAAGATATCATTTTTTTAAAAAGAAAATTCATTTTTATTATCAAAAATTTATGTAATATAATATTTAGTGTAAAAACTTTTTAAAATAAAATATTATGTTTTAAACATATTTATGTTACATGTATTATAATTAACAAATTATAATATTTAATTCTTAATAAAACTAAAATTTATAATTAAAATAATAAATACTTTTACATTTTTGTTTAATAAAATATTTTACACTTAAATTTAACAGTTTTATATTTACAAAATGCTATTTTATTTATTATTTATGAAGTTTATTATGTTAACCAATGGTTTGCATTCACGTATCAAACACTACCCGTCGGTAACAGAGGACAACTGTGGTATCAATAGTCAGTCACTGTTGATGAGCGGACACTGTCTTAAGTGGCCATCAAATGTTGAGACAAATGTTCAAAACGGACGGTTAGCTCAACCGTTTGAGTGGCCGTGGATTGCATTCATTGATATATACAAAACATTTTTGGGGATTAAGTATAACAGGTATTAAAAAATTAATTAATATAATCAATACTTTATAATTAAACAAATAAATTATTTTATTTTAATTAAACAGGAGATGGTGTACTGGAGTTATATTGAATAGCTATTGGATTATAACAGCAGCACATTGTATATTGTAATTAGATTTATATATAATTTTAAAACAATATAATAATATTTTTTTAAAAAACTAATTTATTATAAGATCCGATCACACAGTAAGTGTACGATTAGGTGATGACTACAGTCAAGCAATTCATACATACGGTGTGAATAAGTATGTTATTCATCCCAATTATACGGCACTCAGACATATACCGGGATTGAACTATGGATATGACATCGCATTATTGAAATTGGATTCACAGATATTGATGACACAGTCGACGGGTGGGTATCCGACAGTTAATGCCATTTGTTTGCCCGACAGAGACATTGTTAACACCGATAAAGAGTTGGCACTGTTTGCCGGTTTCGGACGCTTAGACCCGGGTGTCATAAATTCAGGTCCACTACGGACGGGTTGGTTTCAGATGACTGAGTCGTTTAATAACTTAACAGATCAATCGTCTTATTTGATTTTTAGTAAAAGATATCCATTAATTGAGGGAACAGCTGCCTGTACTGTATGTAATAAGTTATTAATTATTAATAACAATTATTAATATATAAATAGCTATTTAAATAAAAAAATAATTTTTAATAAAATTTTTTTAAGTAATTCTAATTCAGATTAATTTTTTAACAAAATAATTACTTAATACCACTTCAATAAACTATAGGGTGATTCGGGTGGACCATTGGTTCAGTATGTAATGGATGACAATAATAACATTTATCAAACTAATAATAATAGTAGTGATGTTATGATGGGTGGTGTTAATGGTGGTGGTGGTGGTCGGGTAGTACTAATTGGTTTAGCTAAAGGATTTACTCACAAAATAGCTGACTGTCCTTTGATTGAACATACCGATGCTTTGAATGTATTTGTTCGGTTGTCTAAACATATTGATTGGATTATTAATACTGTTTCGGGACATTAAATAACATATAAGACTAACAACTTTTGGGTTAGTCTCCAAACTGACAGCTTATATATACTGTATATATATATATATATAAATATTATATATTTATAATTATAATTTATAATAATTATCTGTAATAATAATCTATAATAATAATTAGTGTTTAGATATAATATTTAATATTATAAGCATATGATAGTTAAGATACAGTAAAGTAAGGTATATATATATATTATATTAATAGTTATTAACTAAAAAATATATAACAATAATAATTATTAATTGAATTTTTTAAAAATAAAATTTGTATAAAAATAAAATAGTTTAATATATGTTAAATAAAATAAGTCATTATAATCGTTATTGTAATTAATTATTTAATTATACATTTATACATTTGTATAATATTTTTATAATTTACTAATTTTTAAATATATTGTTTATATATAGATTTAAAATGAAATTATATAACAATCATATTAAGTAATTTTTGACTTTGAGATTAATTTTTTTTAAATTAATTAATCAAATTGTCATTATTGTTGACATTGTTGTTGTTGTTGTTGTCGTCGTTGTCGTTGTTGTTGTTGTTGTTGTTGTTGTCATAATTGTTTTGATTAACCATTTCGTGATCGTTAGTCCTCCTGTCCTGTAATGTCTGGCCATTAAACACACGCTTCAAGTGTATGACTATTACAACACATATCGTGATTGCAATCAATGAAATAACTATTAATATAATTGGTTTCAGTAGCAGAAAATCCGGTGGAAATTGTTGTGGATTTTCAATTATATCCCCGATATATATATCTAAAAAAATATTGTTTATAATAAAATTTATTTTTACTTTAATTATTAATTCAATATATATTTTATTTATCTTTATATTACAGGTATTTTATAATATATAAAACACAAAAATACATAAATAAATAATTAAACAAATTATTAAAACATATAAATGCCTGATTGATATATTTAGATGAATTCATTTTGATTACTTTGAAACAAATTGACTGATTTTTAAAATAATTAATATTTATTAATAATTAAAAATAGTTGCATAAAAAAATTTAATATCTAATACTGAAACTATTTAATAAGTTTATTAAATTAATAATAATTTTTATTTTATATAATCTAATGACTAATAATATGTAATATTATAATCTAAATATATCCCCCTTTTTATAACAAATTTGTTGATCACTAAAGTTTTTATGTTATATATATACAGTATATATATATATACTGTATATTTCATTTTGCGATTAAGTTTCAAAAAATTGTTTAAAAATACTGTATTATAAACTAATATTATTATTATTATTATTATTAAACTAACCAATATTTTGTGACAACCAAAAAAATAATAATTGAATGATTAGTCAATTAATTGTTTATATTGAAAATTAATAAACAAATTTTATTCAAATAAATAATATTTATTAAATATCATAATAGCATTATTTTTATCACTTAAATTAATTATTTCTATATTAAATATAAAGTTATTTTTATGTAATTTTGTTTTATAATGACTATTTATAACAGTAATATATAAATTAATTAATTAATTAACTTAATTCCTATCAAAAATTAAGTTATTATTATACAATTTTAATAAATAAATATTAAAGTGTCTTAAAAATTTAATTTTCTAATAATTTTCTAACATTAAAATCGTAAAATTGTATAATACTTAATTAAATTCAATTTCTAATTGTTAGTAATTTACTGTAAATAATTAACTATAATAGTCAAATAGCAGATAATTTATTTAAGATGAGTTTTATTTTTAAATAACTAAAACTAAAATTATTTCCTAACAAATAATTAGTTAAATAATATGATTTTAAAAAAAAAATTACTAACTAGTAGTTTATGTAGTCAAATACAATAGCCGAAAAACTTTATAAACATCTAGTTTTCTAAATAATTTTGTTTACTCTAAATTTTAAGCTTTGGATAATTGTTTTTATCAAAAATAATTACAATTACAAAGCTAACCAATATTTTATAAAACTTAATGTTTATATTTTAAATTACCGTTAATACAATTATCTAGAATAAATAATTTTAATAACCAATGTTAATGTATAACTTACAGTAAGTTTAAATAAACTTAAATAATAACTTTTTAAGACTATTGTTTGTAAAATATTTAATTATAAATTTATATATACAGTATATATATAAAAAAGTTTACAAATTTTAATTTTATAACTATAGTAATACTAAACTATCAATTATTGTTGATTTTAAAGTGATAATAAAATTATTATTATTATTATTATTATTATTATTACTACTACTACTACTACTACTACTACTACTACTACAGTTGACAGTTATGCCAATATCGGGGAAATGTTGTCACATCTCTTATATTTTGAATACCGGTTAACGTTTGGATAAGTCTATCGAAACCGATACCGAAACCACCGGTAATAGTATTACCGAAACGCCTTAAATCTAAATACCTATTATTTATATATATATATAAATAAAAATTGTTTGTTAAAAATCAATCATTACAAATATTATAAATAAATATATATATATATATATAATACAAACCAATCAAAATTGTCTTTTAAATTGAGATCTATTAGACGATTGTCGAGCACTTTGTAATCATCTTCACGTAGACTTCCGCCACATATTTCGCCAGAAATTGGAGACAATAAATCAAAACATAGAGCCTTTAAAATTTAAATAAACAAATAAATAACTAAAAATATATATATATTTATGAATAAAATGCTTTCATCAATAATACCTTTCCATCCGATTGTTTCATATAAAATGGTTTGACATTAGCGGGAAAATGAGTGACAAATACGGGAACATTACCGCTATAGTCGACTAAATATCTTTCGTGTTCGGCACTCAAATTGTGTCCACTTTTTAAAGTTGTCGCATATTTTGGACATTTAGTTAGTACATCAATGGCATCGTTATATGTCATCCTAATAACAGTAGTAATAATTTATTAAAACAAAATTGATTAAAAAATACAATTTTACAATTAATACCTGACATAACGTTTTTGTAAAAAATTATCAAAATATTCATAATTGGTTTCTTTGATCAAATAGTTGAAGTCATCGGTACACTGATTACTTAAATAATAGGCTATAAACTTGCAGACAGTCTCCACTCTGTCCATCAGTTCATCGACAGTATCGACAAACGCTTCTTCCGCTTCAAACATCAAAAACTCTGCCAAATGTCGTCTGGATAGCGATCGCTCGGCTCTGAAACACTGGCTAATAGTGTAGACCCGACTCAGTGACCTACCGGTAAAAAAAGAATAGTTGAAAATACACTGTTTAATACTACTGGCCACTGGCCGACCATCATAATAACCTACCGGGCCATAGCTTCTAAATGTAATTGTGACGAAACTGTTAGATATGTTTGTCTATCAAAGTAGTATTGGTTGTCTTGATTACAATATGGAGACTAATAAAAAGTAAAAATGATTATTGCAATCAAAGTTTGGATCAAATGTTTTGCACCACAACAACAACAACAATAAAATCAATACTTTAATTGAGAAGACATGTCCACCGCCTTCACAGTCGTTGGATGTGATGAGCGGAGCGGTTGTCTGTATGAAATCGTTTTGTTTGCAATACATATGGACAGCGTTCTGGGCTTCGCTTCGGATTCTGGCCAACGATTGATAAATGGATAGTCGTTGCCGAAGATGCGGATATTGGCGACAATAGGCGGCAGTTGTATCATGAGTTAGACCTTTGTCGACAAACGGATACTCCAGAGGATCACACGCGCCCACAATCTCCAGTGACTGACACAACAGTTCTGTCGGCTGTTTGGGTCCCGGACTCGGCATCAGATGACCGACACAGCGGACACAACAGCCGTGATGTAGGTCTTTGATTGTCAAACTGTTTGAATCAATCAATAAAACACAAAACAACTAAATCACAAGATATTAATATATGATATCATTTAAATAAAAATTGTTTACTTTTTAATAACATCTTTACCGCTGATAACCACTTGAAGATTTCGACGATCGGATCCGTCGTTGATGTGTATGAATACTGGACGCTGTTTGCGGACAAATCTGATCCAACCCTAAGAAAACAAAACAACAACAAGACTTTGGTCAGTAAAATGCAGACACAGTTTTTTGCTACAAAACAATTTACCGAAATGGCCACCAATTGGTCGCCGGATGGTTCGGTAATCAATGCATTCTTGATGTTCAATCTCTTCGGCAGGATTGCCGCCGCCGACGGCTTGCACTGTATGAACGGCTTATTTGTCGGCGACGGCGGCGTCGGTGACGATATGCACGTCGATTGTGGTCTCAATTGTTGTTTTCGGCTATAGTGATGTCCACTGTCGCCGCCGGCAATCATCAGTTGCCGATTATGTCGTTGTCGTCTCAATTGTCGACACAATTGACGGCCAATTGTTGTCCACTGTTGTTGTTGTAGTCGCCAACCATTCAATGCAAACAACATTTTCATTGATTGTTATATTTTTTTATTTCAAAAAACATTATAAACAGTAATACTGTATAAAAAACAATAATATTTTTGTTGTGTTTTATATCTATGTTTACAAAAACTCTAAACACATGTGTGTTTAGTTGTGGGCGGAGTTAATGAAAAGTTTTCAAAAAATTATTTTTTATTGCATTAAATGTTTAGTTTATTTATGAATTATTTTTATTTTTTTATATATAAAATAAATAGTATATATAAAGTTTAAATAGTTATTAAAAATTTATGTAAAATTATATTTAATTTTAGGAATATTTAAATCTAGTTTAATATACGGTAGTTATTATTAGTTGTTTATTTCAAGCAATAGTTAAGCGCCCATACGGTAATTAATATACAATCCCTATTGTTTAAAATTAAAAATATATGTAACCTAGGTATTAATAGTTAAAATTACTTATTTTAAAGAGTGTAAAGGGGTATGGAATGAGGGGTATATAAATGTCTATAAGTAATAGTTTAATTGTGCATGATAATATTTTCTATATTTTAATAAAAAAAAATATTTAGTATAACTTTTACGTAAAATATTGATATATTAAATAAATATTGTTAATTTAGTTTTTTTTAATATTTTAAAGTTTGTTAAATAAACAACAATTATATAAATGTTTATATATTTATATAAAAATAAAACCAAATAATTTGAAAACTGTCATATATATATAATTTATATATATTATTATTAAACAATATTTTATTTTTTTAAATATACGAGATAAAAGATGAAATATTAAATTTAATATATTTATAATAAAAATTAGTTATACGATAATTTGTATAAAAAATTAATAAATATATTATAAAGTTACTTGAAAATATTATTATTTATTAATAATAATAATTTATGTAAAAGTATATATAATAAAAAGTTTTTTTTAATAATATTATATTTAAATAAGTTGTGAGATTTTATTTCAAATGTATTAATTTCATATTCATAAATATATTAGTTAATTAAATAAAATTTTATTTAAAAAAACAATTAAAATCTAAATTAGTATTAATATTACATTTATTGTTAATAAAAATATTAAATTTAACAAATTTTACTCTTTTAAAATGATATTTTATTTATTACTTAACTTTATTGTGTTAACCAATGGTTTGCACTCACGTATCAAACACTATCCGTCGGTAACAGAGGACAAGTGTGGTATCAATCGTCAGTCACTGTTGATGAGCGGACACTGTCTTAAGTGGTCATCAAATGTTACGACAAATGTTCAAAACGGACGGTTAGCTCAACCGTATGAGTGGCCGTGGATTGCATTCATTGATGTATACAAAACATTTTGGGGTTTTAAATATAACAGGTATTATAAAAATAATAATTATTATAATAATTAAAATAATAAATTATTTTTATTATTATTATTATTATACAGGAGATGGTGTACTGGAGTTATACTAAATAGAAATTGGATTATAACAGCAGCACATTGTTTAACGTAATTAGATTTTTATAATTTTAAAACAAAATATTATAAATAAAATTTAATATTTTAAAAAAACTAATTTATTATAAGATACGATCACACAGTAAGTGTACGATTAGGTGATGACTACAGTCAACCAATAAAATAATATCATAATTATAACCATCTATTTAAGTAAATGGTGTACTGGAGTTATATTAAATAGCTATTGGATTATAACATCAGCACATTGTGTATTGTAATTAAATTTTTATATAAAAATATTTAATAAAAATAAATTTATTATAAAAGAATATTCCATTTAATTGTTTAATTATAAGATCCGATTACACAATAAGTGTACGACTAGTTCAGGACTATAGTCAACAAAGTCACTCATACGGTGTGGTTATGTATGTCATTCCTCCTAATTATACGGCTTTGAGTCACACTCCGGGATTGAACGATGGATATGACATCGTATTATTGAAATTGGATTCACAGATATTGATGACACAGTCGACGGGTGGGTATCCGACAGTTAATGCCATTTGTTTGCCCGACAGAGACATTGTTAACACCGATAAAGAGTTGGCATTGTTTGCTGGTTTCGGTGATACTGACCATAATGTGATGAATTCGGGTCCAATCAGAATGGGTTGGTTTCTTATGTCTGAATCGTTAAACAAACCATTAGATCTTTGGACTTATTTGATTAATTGTGAAAGATATCCATTAAATAAGGGATCAGTTATCTGTATGGTAAGCATTATAATCATATAATATAATACTGCATAACATAAATGATTATTAATTTGAATTCATATATATATAATACATTGATAATCTGTACATATATATAATATACAGTATATTCATAGATAACACAATAATTGTTGGTTGAAAACTTACTTTTAATACAAAATATTAAAATTGAATATAAAAAATATAATTTTTTTTTTAAAAATATGTTAACCAAAAATTTATACATTCTAAAAAACAAATTTCACTCTTTTTTTACTATTTTAGGGCGACTCGGGTGGACCATTGGTTCAGTATGTAGAGGATAATAGTCGCCAACAAAATAGTAGTGATGTAGGGATGATGGGTGGTGTTGGTGGTCGGGCAGTCCTAATTGGATTGGGTTTGGGTTATTGGCCCCGAGGAACGGGATGTGATCCTAATGTTAATGGTATGAATTCATTTGTTCGCATATCTAAACACATTGATTGGATTATCGATACTGTGTCCGCACACTAATAAACTATAATTTGATCAAATAATTGTTAGAAAATTGGTTTTTTAATATTAAATAAATATTTATTTATTTAATATTAAAAAACCAATTTTCTAATTCATAACTATATAATATTTACTAATTAGAAATTAAAAAAGTAGCTAAATAATAAATATTATATGCATATACAATTTATACATAATACTATTATATATATATAACTCTAATTTTATTTAAATTATTAATCTCCTAAAATGCATTTAAATATCAATTAGTATTTTTTTAAATTTAATTTTTGTTCACTTTGTATAAATAAATAATTACTTTAGTTTCATATATTAGTTTATTATTATCAGTTTCAATAGATTTAAATAATATTTTATTAAATTATACAACTATTGTACTAATTTAGTTAAACTATAAATTAACTAATAATTATCCTCCAATTGTCCTTGTATATTTTTTCGAAAAATTCTATGCATTAAAAAATAATAAAAATTATTTGATTATCAAAAATTGCCTATTATTGTAAAAAAAAATATTATATTAAACTGTATTTTTAAGTAGTATTGATAAACTACATTTTAATAAATTTTATTTAAAAAAGTTTCTAGATTTTTAAATATGTAATTAAATTGCTAATCTAATTTATCATTAACATGAGATTATTAATAAATGTAATGTAAGATTGAAATTTTTAAAAATTATTATATAAGTATTATATTAAATTTCATCAATAATATTATTTTTTATTTTAATGTAAGAAATTAAAAAAAGATATTTTTTATTTTAAAAAAATAAATTTTATTCTTATATATTATTTTAATATTATAGTTATGTTTATAGAAATGAAATTTTATTTAATATTTACATCTATTGTATTAACCAATTGTTTGTATTCACGTATCAAACACTACCCGTCGGTAACAGARGACAAKTGTGGTATCAATAGTCAGTCAATGTTGATGAGCGGACACTGTCTTAAGTGGTCATCAAATGTGACGACTAATGTTCAAAACGGACGGTTAGCTCAACCGTTTGAGTGGCCGTGGATTGCATTCATTTATTTTTACAAAACATTTTTGGGTTTAAGATATAAATATAATTGGTATTATTAGAAATTATTATAAAAATCATATTTAAACATAATATCAAAACTAATAACTATATTATTTATTTACGTTTAAATATTTAATTTTGCCGTTTTCCCTAATTCGTTAGAGTGGAAAAAATTTAAATTAAAAAATAAATAATAACAAACATCATAATATTTATTTAAAAAATTAAAATCAATTAAAATCAAATATATATATATATAGTACAGTATATATTACTAATGATAATTAAATAAAATTCAATTAGTTGTTTAATTAAGTTTAATTAGTAACTATAATTATCTAATAAAAAGTTTTATTTATTATTTAAGCTATTTGTATGATATCTATGCAATAAAATTATCCCAATAATTAAGGGTGACTCGGATGGGCCATTGGTTCAGTATGTAGTGGACAACAATCACAAAATGTCTGGTAGTGGTGGCAGTGGTGGTGGACGGGCAGTACTAATAGCTATACTAAGTGGTTCCAGTCCTAAGTTGTATACCTGTCAGTCCAAACATAGCGATACTATTTTGATATTTGTTCGCATATCTAAACACATCGATTGGATTATTAATACTGTGTCCGCAAAATAATATAAAATATAATATATTTTTCAAATAAACTGATTTTGAATATTAAGTAAACTTTTATTTTAGAAACAATTTTAAACTATTATGAAATTAAGAAGACTACTATTATTAATTTATTCAAATATATATATATCTTATTTATATATATATGTATAATTATATAACAATCATATTTAGTAATTTTTGATTTAAATTTGATTTTTTTTTAATTAATTAATAATATTATCGTTGTTGTTGTGATTAACCATTTCGTGATCGTTAGTCCACCTGTCCTGTAATGTCTGGCCATTAAACACACGAGTCATATGTAAGATAATAACAGCAAACATAATGATTGCAATCAATAATATAATTGCATACAATATATAAGTCACTTGATATTAATATTGAAATCATTTCAAGTTAATCAAATAATCAAAATTAATAATAATATTTATAAAAACATTTCAATTTGTAAAATATACTTTATATTTAGATTTTTTTTAGTAACATAATAGATATATTAATTTAAATATCAATTAATATTTTTTTTTAAATTTTATAAATTAAATTTATTTTGTATAAATAATTAATTTAGTTATGCATCTGAATTAATTATTTATATAAATTAATAAATGCTAAATTTATTAAAAATTTATCATTTATTATTAGCAGTCTCAGTAGATTTAAGTAATATTATATTATATAACTATTGTACTAATTTATTGAAACTATAAATTAAATATTAAATGTAAGTCGATTGACCTTGAATATTTTTCGAAAAATTCTATTTATTAAAAAAAACTGACCTAGCAACCCTAATAACAACAATTTTGTATAATGTATGTATTATAAATTAATTAAATAACTTAAAAATAAATAATAATTTATTTATGTTCATTTTTTAAAAATATATAATATAATTATTAATGCATTATTAAAAACTACCTATAAAAATATATTTAATTATATATATTAAACTGTATTTTTAAGTAGTATTAAAAACAATATTTTAATAAATTTTAATAAAAAATTTTCGATATTTTAAATATGTAATTAAATTGCATATCAACTTTATTATTAATATGAGATTATTAATAAATGTAAAGTAAGATTGAAATTTTTTAAAAACTTTTATATAGAAGTATTATATTAAATTACATCTAAAATATTAGTTTTTATTTTTATTATTTAATGTAAGAAATTTTAAAAATAGATATTTTTAATTTTTTAAAAAACAAAGTTTATTCTCATATATTATTTTAATATTATAGTTATGTTTATAGAAATGAAATTTTATTTAATATTTATATCTATTGTATTAACCAATTGTTTGCATTCACGTATCAAACACTACCCGTCGGTAACAGAGGACAAGTGTGGTATCAATCGTCAGTCATTGTTGATGAGCGGACACTGTCTTAAGTGGTCATCAAATGTTGGGACAAATGTTCAAAACGGACGGTTAGCTCAACCGTTTGAGTGGCCGTGGATTGCATTCATTGATATATACAAAACATTTTGGGGTTTCAGATATAATAGGTATTTGTAATTATTAATATACATTTAATTATATATACAATAATAATTATTTCATTTAAAATTATTTTCCAAATTTTGTAAATCTCTAAATTATTAAATAAAAATTATTATTATTATTATTAAACAATTATATGTTATATTTTAATTAAGTAAATGGTGTACTGGAGTTATATTGAATAGGAATTGGATTATAACAGCAGCACATTGTATATTGTAATTACATTTTAAATTTATAAATCATCAAACATTTTATTTAAAAATATACTTTTATTTTACTAATAATTTATTTATAAGATCCGATCACACAATAAGTGTAAGATTGGGTTATGACTACAGCCATGCAAGTCATGTATACGGTGTGGATAAGTATGTCATTCATCACAATTATACGCCAAATATGATTGGATTGAAGTATGGATATGATATCGTATTATTGAAATTGGATTCACAGATATTGACGACACAGTCGACGGGTGGGTATCCGACAGTTAATGCCATTTGTTTGCCCGACAGAGACATTGTTAACACCGATAAAGAGTTGGCAGTGTTTGCCGGTTTCGGTTATATTGACGATAATGTGATTAATTCGGGTCCACTCCGGACGGGTTGGCTTCAGATGACTGAATCGTTTAATAACTCGTTAGATAACTACAGTTATTTGATTTTAAGTAAAAGATATCCATTGATTGAGAGAACCGGTGGCTGTCAGGTAAGTAATCAAATATATTTTTAAATATTATTAGATAAAAATCCAATTTGATGTTTAATTAGGGTTAAATTATTTAGTATAATAATTTAATAAAAAGTTTTTTATTTTATTATTTAAGCTATTTATGTATAATATCTAAATTCACAAATTATTCAAATAATATACTATAGGGTGATTCTGGTGGACCATTGATTCAGTATGTAGTGGACAACAGCAGTCATAAAGGTAGTGGTGGTGATGGTGGTGGTGGTCGGGCAGTATTAATAGGTATACTAAGGAGTGGCAGACCTAAGTCGGTTAACTGTCAGTCCAAACATAGGGATACTATTTTAATATTTACTCGCATATCTAAATACATTGATTGGATTATTAATACTGTTTCCCTACAATAATATAAACTATGATATAATATAATTTTATTCCTAAACTAAATATTGAATATTAGTTTATAAAATTTATTTAATTGATATTTTTAAAATATTAAAAATTTTATATTTATTTCATTTTTAGAAGTTTCATTATAATAAAATAAAATTACAATTTATAAATAATTTATTATTAATTTTGATCTAAACATCTGATGATTGATCTAGACAAAATTTAGTCTAAAATAACTTAATTTATTTTATAATAAATTCAGTTATTAATTATTAACTAAATATTATTAAAAAAAATTATAAATGCATATACAATACATACTTTATATATATACTGTATATATATGTTTTGTATGCATGGTTTTTAGATATATAAGATAATAGATGCCATAAATTTCTGACATTTTGTTAAAAATATTTTTTATTTGCCTAACAATTTAATTTTTTTTAAAAGTAACTGTATTTATAAAAATAAAGCAATGGCAGAGTCAGGGCAGGCAATATCATCTGCATTCAAAATTTGATCTAGCATCTCTAATTATTTTTTTTCAAAAATAACWAACAATTTATTWATGTTTATTAAAAAAATCATTTACATTAAAATGCATTACAAATAAAATATAACTATAATTATTAAATATAAAAAATACATTAAGTTTTAATGTTATTAAATATCTAATCGAAATTTTAAACCAAATAAACTTTTAATTAATTGTATCTTAAGTGTTGTTATTGTTGTCATTGTTGTTGTGATTAACCATTTCGTGATATTACTAYTKATAAACATTTATTTAAGCATTTAATAAAAAAAAACAATATTAATGAATTTAATAACACATAACTTATAATGATTTCAATGACTATTTTAATAATAATATTTATAGAAACATTTCCATAAATGTATTGTTAAAATATTCAATTATAAAATAAATAAATAAATATAAGCAACAMATATAAATATTATTATGATATTTTAATATTTAATATTAGATAAAAATAAGATAATTAACAGTAGAATATAGATTATTAGTAACACTATTTATGTATTAATTTAAATATCAATTATTATTTATGTTTCAGTTATTTATCAGTTATTAAAAAATATTGTTAATTTTATAAAATAACTATTTTTATGCATTTATATTTTAGTTTGGTATTAATTTAGTTGTGCAGGACAGGACAGGACAGGACAGGACAGGACAGGACAGGACAGGACAGGACAGGACAGGACAGGACAGGACAGGACAGGACAGGACAGGACAGGACAGGACAGGACAGGACAGGACAGGACAGGACAGGACAGGACAGGACAGGACAGGACAGGACGGTAATCTTAAAATCTAATAATTTATTTGCTTATTTCGCAATATTATTAAGTTATTAATATTATACAAATTACACTTAAAATATAATACATTTTACTAAGTGTTAGATTTAATTAAAGTCATATCAAATTTATTATTACAATTATATAGTAAATTATAATAAATATAATGTAATTTTGAAATATAAAACTTTTATAAGTATAATATTAATTATTATAATAATAGTTAAATTTTTTATGTAAGAATTTTAAAAATTTATATTTAATAAAAAAAATAATAAACTTTATTCAAATAATATTTTATTGTAATATTATAGTTATCTAAAATGTTTAGTGAAATAACATTTTATATAATATTTTTATCAATTGTGTTAACTAATTGTTTGCACTCACGTATCAAACACTACCCGTCGGTAACAGAGGACAAGTGTGGTATCAATCGTCAGTCATTGTTGATGAGCGGACACTGTCTTAAGTGGTCATCAAATGTTGGGACAAATGTTCAAAACGGACGGTTAGCTCAACCGTTTGAGTGGCCGTGGATTGCATTCATTGATTTTTACAAAACATTTTTGGGTTTAAGATATAATTGGTATTTAGATTAGAAATTACTATAAAAATCATATTTAAACATATTATCAAAACTAATAACTTATAACTAGAATTCGGGAAACTTCCCAATGGAGTGAAGTTTCATAATATATTAAATATTTAATTTTTCATCCTCTAATCGGTTAAAGTGGGAAAAAAATTTAAATTATAAAATAAAAACTAACAAACAGTGTAATATTTATTTTAAAAATTAATATCAATTAAAAATTAAATATATATATATAGTATTTAGTAAAACTTTTCTACAATATAACTCAATATAAAATAAATATTTTATCCGTTATTTACTTATAATTAATATAATAAAATTAATTACTTATTGTTGTTGTTATTATTATTATTATAAAAAATTGTMTGTTATATATCCAAATTAAGGTATTGGTGTACTGGAGTTATTTTGAATAGCTATTGGATTATAACAGCAGCACATTGTATAAAGTAAATTGATTATTGTTTAAATTTTAAATGTTTATGAAATGTTTTCTCAAAAAATGATAATTTTATTTAACTATTAATTTATAAGATCTGATTACACACTAAGTGTAAAACTAGGTAATGAYTACAGCCATGCAAGTCATGTATACGGTGTGGATAAGTATATCATTCATCCAAATTATACGGCATATAATCATATCAGAGGATTCAAGTTAGGAYATGACATCGYATTATTGAAATTGGATTCACAGATATTGATGACACAGTCGACGGGTGGGTATCCGACAGTTAATGCCATTTGTTTGCCCGACAGAGACATTGTTAACACCGATAAAGAGTTGGCAGTGTTTGCCGGTTTCGGTGATATCGAAGATAATGTGATTAATTCGGGTCAACTCCGGACGGGTTGGTTTCAGATGCCTGAGTCGTCTAATAACTCGACAGATAACTACAGTTATTTGATTTTAAGTAAAAGATATCCATTAATTGAGGGAACCGGTGGCTGTCAGGTATCTAATAAAATATTACTAATGATAATTCAATAAAATTCATTTTAATTAAGTTTAAATTATTAGCTATAATAATTGAATATAATATTTTWTTATTATTATTATTTGATTGATAATATAAATTGCCAATTTATTAATATTTTATAAGTATAATATCTATATGACTATTCATAATTTATTCATAAAATAGGGTGATTCTGGTGGACCATTGGTTCAGTATGTAGTGGATGACGACAACAGTCATAAAAGTCTTAGCAATGTAATTGCGAGTAGTAATGGTGGTAGTGGTCGGGCCGTACTAATAGGTATACTAAGTGGTGCCAGTCCTAAGTTGCATACCTGTCAGTCCAAACATAGCGATACTATTTTGATATTTGTACGCATATCTAAACACATTGATTGGATTATTAATACTGTGTCCGCACAATAATATAAACTATCATATAATATAATTTTATCCTTTAAACTAAATATTTAATATTAGTTTATAAAATTTATTTAATTGATATTTGAAAAATATTTTTTAAAAAAATTATTTATTCCATATTTATATTAATATATATATATTAAAATTAAATTACAATTTATAAATAATTGCTAAAATTCTAATCAAAACTTTAAACAAAAAAATATTTTTAATTAATTATGTTTTAATTGTTGTTTTAATTATTATGTAATATAAATTATTTATTGAATTATACATTTACTGTATAATATATTTATAAGCTTGTTTGCAAAATTATTTTATAACTAATTACCATAAATCTTATTTATATAGATTTAAAATTATATAAGTAATCATATTAAATAAGTTTTGATAATAATTTTTTAAAAATTAATTAATAATATTATCGTTATTGTTGTTGTTGTTGTTGTTGTTGTTGTTGTTGTCATTGTTGTTGTGATTAACCATTTCGTGATCGTTAGTCCTCCTGTCCTGTAATGTCTGGCCATTAAACACACGCTTCATGTGTATGATAATTACAACACATATAATGATTGCAATCAATGATATAATTGCAAATATTATTGGTTTCAATAGCAACATTTCTGGTGATAATATTTGAGGATTTTTAGTCAAACCATCACTAATTATCTAACAGTAAATATAAATAACAAATATATCAAAAAATATTTTATACATTATATTAAGTTTACATTTATTACTTTAATATTATGTTCACATAAAAAATATGTTACATATAAAAACTAATTAAATAAATCAATGAAAACCAAATAATACCTGAGAGTAGTATTCGGTTGAATTCATTATAATTTGTAGATTAAATGCCAGATTAATAAAAATAATTACTATTATCTTAACAAATGAAAACTTTTATCAATACTGAAACTATTTAATAGTTTATAATATATTTAGTAATTTAAATACAATATATTAAAACTATTTAAATATAATGATTCATATTTTTGAATATAACAAAAACATCCCGTTTTCTAATAATTTTGTTTACCCTAAAGTTTTACATAATATTACAAATTAAAATTTTTAATAATTGTTTAATATTATCAAAATTCATTAATAGATATTTTTTTTAAAAAAACAAACAATACTATTAGTCATTTGATATTAATATTAAAAACATTTATTTAAGCTTTTAATCAAATAATCAAAATTAATTTTTATAAAAATAATACAATTTCCTCATGTATTTATAAAAACATTTACATTTGTAAAATATATTATATATTAAAAAAAATAATTATATTAAAAAACAGTTATTATTTCTCACTTACTCACTCACTCACTCACTCTCTATGACTGTTTTGTTATTTTTTTTAATTAATAAAAATTTATAATTATTTTGAGTCCTTTAATTGTTTGCATAATAAAAATAAACACCAAATGTATGACAATTACTAAATGTTTTCTGTTATATAAATGTCTAATTAATATTACAATCAATTTCTAATAATAGTTTAAATAATATTGTTATTAATAAAGTTATATAAAAATTAAATAAAGTTATTGTCTAATAGTTTGTTTTAAAATATCATATTTAAACAAATGTTATATTAAACTGTAAAATAATAAATATTTAATAAATATTAATAAAAGTTTTTCGATTTTTTAAATATGTAATTAAATTGTATATCAACTTTATTATTAATATGAGGAGATAATTAATAAATGTAATGTAAGATTGGACATTTTAAAAATTATTATTTAAGTATTATATTGAATTTTATCTAAAATATTTTTTTTTATTTAATAATTTAATATAAGAAATTAAAAAAACAGATATTTTTTATTAAATAAAATAAACTTATATTCTTATATATTATTTTAATATAATAGTTATGTTTATAGCAATAAAATTTTATATAATATTTTTATCAATTATATTGACTAATTGTTTGCACTCACGTATCAAACATTACCCGTCGGTAACAGAGGACAAATGTGGTATCAATAGTCAGTCACTGTTGATGAGCGGACAGTGTCTTAAGTGGTCATCAAATGAGACGACAAATGTTCAAAACGGACGGTTAGCTCAACCGGAAGAGTGGCCGTGGATTGCATTTATCGATGCATACAAAACATTTTGGGGGATTAGATATAAATGGTATATATAATTATTAACATATATTTACAATTATAGTTTATTACAAAAATTACAACCACCCCCCCCCCCAAAAAAAATTTAAATATTTTTAGTATCGAAATACAAATATTTAGCATAAAATTTTATTTAATAATATAAATATGAATTCAATATATATTTAATTAATACAATTTTGTTATAATATATGTTTTTTTAAATGTATTTCAATTGTATAGTAATTTAGATAATTTAGCCAAACTTTAATTATAATTAATATAATTGAAATTAAATACTAATTAAATACAATTACAATAATTAAGGTATTGGTGTACTGGAGTTATATTGAATAGCAATTGGATCATAACAGCAGCGCATTGTATATTGTAATATAACTTTTTTTTTAATTTAACAAATTTATGAATCAAAGATTTTTTTTTAAAAACAAAGTTTAATATTATTTAATTATTAATTTATAAGATCTGATTACACACTAAGTGTAAAACTAGGTTATGATTACAGTCATTCAAATCAAGTATACGGTGTGGATAAGTATATCATTCATCCAAATTATACGGCATATAATCATATCAGAGGATTCAAGTTAGGATATGACATCGTATTATTGAAATTGGATTCACAGATATTGATGACACAGTCGACGGGTGGGTATCCGACAGTTAATGCCATTTGTTTGCCCGACAGAGACATTGTTAACACCGATAAAGAGTTGGCAGTGTTTGCCGGTTTCGGTAATATCGAAGATAATGTGATTAATTCGGGTCCACTCCGGACGGGTTGGTTTCAGATGACTGAGTCGTCTAATAACTCGTCAGATAACTACAGTTATTTAATTTCAATTAAAAGATATCCTTTGATTGAGGGAACCGGTGGCTGTGAGGTATGTAATAAAATATTATTAATATTAATAAATTCATTTAGATTAACAATAATAATTTAATAAAAAAAATTTTTGTATTATTTAAGCTATTTGTATGATATCTATGCATTAAATTATTAAATAATTAAGGGTGACTCGGGTGGGCCATTGGTTCAGTATGTAGTGGACAACAATCACAAAATGTCGGGTAGTGATGGTAGTGGTGGTGGTGGTCGGGCAGTACTAATAGGTATACTATTGGGTATCAGTCCTAAGTTGGGTGTCTGTCAGTTGAGACATAGCGACAATATTTTGCTATTTCTTCGGTTGTCTAAACACATCGATTGGATTATCAATACTGTGTCCGCAAAATAATAAACTATAATTTAATCAAATAATTGTTAGAAAATTGGTTTTTAATATTAAATAAATAAATAAATATATATATGCATTCCTAACTATATAATTTTTATTATTTAGTTAATCAATAACAAATATTTAATATATATGATTAGCTAAATAATAAATATTAAATAGATATACAATTTATACATAATACTATTATATATATATATATATATATATATATAACTCTAATTTTATTTAATTTACTAATCTCCTGAAATGCATTTGTACATAAAATTATATATTTTTACATTAATTATTATAGATTTAATAAATTAACACAATTTTTTTGTTAAATTTTAAGGTAATTAACAGTAGAATATAGATTTTTTTAGTAACGTAATTGATATATTAATTTAAATAATAAATAGTATTTTTTAAATATATTTTTTTATACTTTTAAATATAAAAAATTAATTTAGTTGTCCATTTGAATTAGTGTTATTTAATATTAATAATGTTATGTAATATTAAAATCTAATAATTTATTTGCTTATTTCACAATATTAATAAGTTATTAATATTATACAAATTACACTTTTAAAATATAATACATTTTACTAAGTGTTAGATTTATTTAAATGCATATCAACTTTATTATTACAATGATATAGTAAATTATAATAATTATAATGTAATTTTTATATATAAAACTTATATTTAATTTTTTTAAAAATAACTGTATTTATAAAAATAAAACCATAACATAGTCAGGGCAGACAATATCATCTGCATTCAAAATTTGATCTAGCATCTCTAATTAATTTTTTTCAAAAATAACTAACAATTTATTTATGTTTATTTTAAAAAATCATTTAATGCTTTTTTTAAAAAATACAAAAATAAAAATTACAAATAAAGTATAGTTATAATTATTTATTATATAATAAATATAAAGTTTTAATGTTATTGAATATCTAATAAAAAGTTTAAATAAAAAAATATTTAAATTAATTGTATCTTAATTGCTGTTGTAGTTGTTGTTGTTATTGTTGTTGTGATTAACCATTTCGTGATCGTTAGTCCTCCTGTCCTGTAATGTCTGGCCATTAAACACACGTTTCAATTGTACGACAATAACAATACAAATAATGATTGCAATCAATGATATAATTATTAATATAATTGGTTTCAATAGAAGTATCTCCGGTGACATTGTATTTGGATTTTGAATTACTCCACCAAATAGCTATAGTTTATATATATATATATATTAATTAATTATTAGTTTTAATAATAAAATAAAATTAATTTTTTTAAAATAAATAGATAATGATACATTTATAATATTTTACATTATTTACTACAGTATATTAAATTTAAATTACTTTTATATATTATATTCATAAAAATATAAGTTACAATTTTAACTTACAAATAAAATCATTAAATAAATCAATAAAAAACAAATAATACCTGAGTGTAGTATTCGGTTGAATTCATATTAAAATTGTAGACTAATTGTCAATTTAAAAAAAATAATTACAGTTATCTTAACAAATAAAAACTTTTTTTCAATACTAAAACTATTTAATAGTTTCTAATAATGTTTATTAATTTATATCCAATACATATGAGAAAACT